GCGGCGGTGGACCGCGCGCAGAGACGTCGCCAGGCTGGAGTTGCCCATGGCCATGCGCGACCTGAAGCTCAAGGCTCAGGGTGACCTCACCGAGCGGCCGTTCCTCACGCGCGAGAGTCTGGACATGGCGCTGAGCAGCTTCCAGGCGGGCACGGGGCTAGGCGCCGACCAGTGGGCGCCAGACCAGATGCGAGCGCTCAGCCCGTTGTGCTGCAAATATTCCTCCCTCCTCATTTTGAATATGTGCCGGCGCCAGCTGACGTGGCCCCATCAGATCACGCAGATGTGGCATGCTCTACCACCCAAGGGGGGCAAGCAGATAGCGGGGGAGGAGCGGCCCATCGGGCTGATGTCCATGACGATGAGAGTATGGGGGAAGATGACCAACCATCGACTAACTGAATGGTGAGATCGAAAAGCGGGGTTCTGGGATGCAGCAGTTCGGAAGAGTTTGGCTTTGCAGTCGGCGCTTCTCACCCTAGTCTTGGACGAAACCCGAGCCAATCACGACGAAGCTAGCCAGGCCACGTTCTTTCAGGACTTAGAGGAGTTCTACGATCTGGTGGATTTAGGTATCCTAGCGGTGAGAGCGTCTGAGGTAGAGTACCCCCCCGTCGAGCTGTACATGTGCATCATGTCACACCTCCGCCCCAGACTTGTCCAGGCTAATATGATCTTCAGCGACCTGATAGTGCCAGACAACGGGATGGTCCCAGGCTGCTGCAAGGCGAACCATGGAGCCCGTGCGCTATTGGATCATGTACCAGAAGAGGTTCACCTAGCCGTCCCGATAGCCAGGTTGAGACAGTTCGTGGACGACATCATGGGCAGGGTCGAGGGGCCTGAGGAGGTGGTAGGAGCAGCAGTGTCCAAAGCAGCAAGTGTACTGGCCGGGGGTTGCCTCAAGGCTCGGCTCAAGATCTCCAATAAGTCCACCATCCTGGCCCAGAACCCCAAGGACGCCCGCGAAGTTGAGAATGCCCTGGCCGAACTAAACATCAACATCAAGACTGACAAGGAAATGAAGGACCTGGGGAACGACAGCACCATGGGGCAGCGTAGGTCCAGGAAAACGGCTTCAAAACGGAGTAGGCTCGGCAGAATTCGGGCCACCAGGGCCGGTGTGTTTGCGGGTTTGGGACGGGCCCGACGCAAGAAAAGCAAGCTGTTGTATAATACGAATGTGCGGGCTAAGATGTCTTACGATAGTCCCCTTTTTGGCCTCCCCCCGACCGAAATCCGAAATCGGAGAGCTCTGGCAGCGGACTTAGCTGGTTTCGGAAAGAAAGGCCGATGCACGGCCACGGTCATGCTGCTGATGTATGAGGAAAGGGGCCCCTGGGCTGCGTGCGTGAAGCGCCAGACCAAGGAGTGGCTGCAGTTCTGGGCCAACAATCCCTCCCTCAGACAGCGGGTTCGGCGGGGGTGGACGGCCACTAAGTTTAAGTTAGCAAGACTAAAGCCCCGATCCCGATGGAGAGCAGTAACAGGGCCTATGGGGGCCATGCTGCTCACACTTCGGTCTCTGGGATTGGTTGGGGTTGAACCTGATGTGTGGGAGGACCCCGACGGTTGCGAATGGCGCTTAAACCCCGACCTATCCGACGAAGTTAGAGCAATTTGTGATGCGCTGGCCCAGACAGAAATTAAAGGGTTGTGGCAACAGGCGACCCAACACACCGAAGGTGAATGCTTCAAGGACGGAGGTGATCTCACCATGCTGCGTCTCAATGTAAAGCGCATGCACAGAAAGGGTATGTACCGGGAAGCTGGCGCCCTGGAGGGGATTGCCTGTGCCACCATATGGAATGGAGACCGCCAGCGCCGTGCAGGTTATAAGACTGACGGTTTGTGTACCAGGTGTGATTTGGGGGTTCCCGACGCCACGCGCCACCGAACGTATGAGTGCCCCTGTCTGGCCCAGTTGGGGCACCCTTGGATTGCCAGAGCGGGACACTTATGCGAGCGAGCGATCCGCGACCTTGATCGCGGGGTGAATTCGTCTCTCTGGCTTCGTGGGATCGTTCCCCCAACCTGGAATCCAGTCCCTCCCCCACCAGAGTGGGGGGATGTCAGTGCCTGGCGCGTTAAAGCTGTCGATGCCCCACCCCTTGCCATCGGTCCCACAGGAGAGGTGATTCCAGCCCGTTGGCTGGAAGCGCGGGTCGGATTTCTGGATGGGTCGGGTACGTCCTCGGATCCGCGTGTCGCCCGTGTGGGGTGGGGCGTCTACCTCCAGATGGGGCCGACTGGCCCTCCCGCTCCTGGAGCCTCTGACCCCCCCCCTCCCCTCCCAGGGTGGTACGGGGGAGTCGACGGCCGCCAGACCGTCCCAGCTGCGGAAGCGGCGGCCCTGTGGTGGTGCCTGCAGTTGACGACGGGAGAGATTGTGATACATTCCGACAATCAAGCTGTGTTTGACGGGTGGCACGGAGGCAGAGTTGACGACCCAAGCGGCGCGCTCCGAGGCTGGTGGCAGAGAGTCCGAGCTGCGGCCCGAGCGCGCCCAGGAGTTGTCACCCTCCGTGAGTGCTACTCTCATCTCGACTCCATGTCTCACCTCTTGTCCTCCCAATCCCCTCTTGTTTCACGTGGGCATGAATTGGCTGACGCCTGCGCCCGGAGAGGGGCGGAGGAGGCGGGCGCGGCCATCAGAGGCGAGGTGAAAGGCCTCGGCGTCGCGGACGCCTCCGCGACCCTCACCCAGCAACGCATGGCCGCAGTGGCCATGGAGCTGGCGGCGCAGGACCGCGAGCAGTGTGCATGGACTCCCGAGGTGGGAGGGGGGGTTGCTTCCAGACGGGCAGTCGAGCTCGAGCGTGCGTCGGGCCATGACCTGGGTCGTCTTTCCAGTGGGGCGTGGGTGTGCCGTCGTTGCCGTCTTGGGCCGCCTCTTGGATCGTCCCTCCTGGATTGGCTCGGGCTCGAAGATAACCGCTGTAAGGGGGACCCCACCCAGCGGCACTTGAGCGATAATGATAATGTAGTTTTCGTCCCCCGCCCAGTCGCCGCGGAGTTGAGAGCCGCGAACAGGCAGGTTCACCCCTCACATTGCGTGGCCATGCGCAACGGCCAGGTTTGGTGTTGGAAATGTGCCAGCCTTGGAGCTGTGGTGAACGGGAGGGGGCGCCTTTTGCTCTTGGCCGAGCCGTGCCGTGGTTGGACCACCCCCTCGGGAGATAATTATTTGAGTCGATTGCGCAAGGGGCTCCCCCCAAAGGGCAGCAAATGGCCCAATGAGAAGGGAGCGGGGCGCCTCCAAGTCGATGCAGGCTCTAGCGTGATCAAGCCGTTTTTGAAGCACCAGTCTCGGAGATAGATTGCTATCGAGAGCCGCCCCCCGAGGGGGGGTGTAATTGTCCAGCTGTGGCCTCGCTGCTGACTGGCACCCTTCAGCATTCTCCCAGCATTCTCCCTCCTCGTCCTTGTCCCCCCCCCCCCTCCGCGCAGTCCTCCCCCCGTGTTTTCTCCCCTCCTCCCTCCTCCGCCTCGGCCGCGCCTCCCCCCCCCTCCGCGTAGTCCTCCTCCTGTGTTCTCCCGCCTCCTCCCACCTCCGCCTCGGCCGCGCCTCCCCCCCCTTTTCCTGCCCGCCCCCACCCTGCCCCGCCACGCTTCCCCCGCCGCCCCCCCCCCTCGCCACGGCCGCCCGCTGCTCGACCCCGCCCGCGCGCGACGCGGCCCCGGCTCGGCGCGCAGGCGCCGGCGCGGAGCCGCCCTCGCTGGCCTGCGCCGCGTGCGGGCACGTGCTCGGCGACGAGGCGTGCGGGGGTGGGGGCGCGCCTCCCCCGCGCGGCGCGCCGGGCGGGCCGGAGCGGCCGGGCGGGGCGGACGCGGCTGCGCACGGGGGGCGGCCGAGGAAGTGGCAACGCGTGGATGACCACGGCGGTTGCGTCGGGCTCGCCTCTCTGGAGGAGGAGTGTGCAAAAGCCGCTTAGGAAGTGCCCGAGGACGTCTTGTCGACTGTTTCTCACTATATTCATGTTTGTTTGGCTATTGTTCGTGTTTTGGCCCGAAATCCGCCTGTAGGAGGACATGCCCGACCTAAGACTACGGCCGGGCGGACAATTAGGGATGGCGTATCGCTCCGCCAGTTCTGGCCCACCGCCTTTCGGCGCGACACGCTATCCACTTCGCGGTCCCCAGGCGTCGATGTCCCAAGCCTTTCCCAACCCCTCACCCCGCGAAGCGAAGCGACACCCTATCCGCTCGCAAGGCCAAGCGCGTCGCCAGGGCGGGCACCGCGACACGCGAAGCAAGAAATTCTTTTGTAAGGCTCCGCTCGCTTGGGCGAGACATCTGAGGGCTGCGCTGCCGACTTCCCCGCTGTGGAAAGACACAGGGGGGCCGAAGCCCAGCCCAGAGCAAGAGCCGATACCAGGAGGAGGAGGAGGAGAATGAGGAGGAGGAAGAAGAGGACACGGATGATGATGATGATGATGATGATGATGATGATGATGATGATGATGATGATGATGATGATGATGATGATGATGATGATGATGATGATGATGATGATGATGATGATGATGATGATGATGATGATGATGATGATGATGATGATGATGATGATGATGATGATGAGGGAGGAGGAGGAGGAGGAGGATGATGATGATGAGGATGATGATGATGCTGATGCTGATGCTGATGCTGATGCTGATGTTGATGTTGATGCTGATGCTGATGCTGATGCTGATGCTGATGCTGATGCTGATGCTGATGCTGATGCTGATGCTGATGCTGATGCTGATGTTGCTGCTGATGCTGATGCTGATGCTGATGCTGATGATGCTGATGCTGATGCTGATGCTGCTGCTGCTGTTGCTGCTGATGCTGATGCTGATGCTGATGCTGCTGCTGCTGATGATGATGATGATGATGGTTCTGATGATGATGATGAGGAGGAGGAGGAGGAGGAGGAGGAGGAAGAGGAAGAGGACAAGGATGAGGAGGACGAGGAGAAGGAAGAGGAGGAGGAGGAGGAGGAGGATGCCTCGCACTTGGGCTCAAGCGCTCCCGCTGCCCGCCCGCCCTCGGACGACCAGCCGGACGCGCGCGGATCGACCGCGATGCTGAGTTCCCTGCAGAAGGTGGCGGACAGCGCCGACAAGGCCTCCAAGGCGCTGTTCGACGAGCTCTTCGGCTGCGGCGCGGACAGGAGCGTGCTTTCTCGAGGGTCTGGCGATAAAACCTAGGTCATCGGCCCCTCCCCCTCCCCCTGGCCTGACCTTGTCGGTTGTGCAGGTCTGAGGGGTGTGTGCGCAGTGCTGGTGTTGTGGAAGTCGATCAATGGAGAGGAAGCGTGTTTAGTCTCGTCTCGTGCCTCGTCTTAAACATGATAAACAGTTGTCTCGCGAACCATTGTCCAGTTGTCTCGCCTTAAACATGTCTTAAGCATGATTAGCATAACAACATCGTTTACGCATTTTTCTGGCATCTTTCAAACATCTCAAACACACGTTTAGTTCAATGAAAAGGGTTGCTATTTCGAGTGTCCACTGTCATGGCACCCAAAAAGCTGGTGCGCGAGGGCATACGAGGGGCTGCCCAGAGCGAAGCTGTCAGGCCATCGGCCAGCACCTCCCCTCTCTCGGCGGCGAGCGAGCGGGGGGAAGTGCGAAGGAGAGGGCCTTCTCCGAGGGCTCGGAGGTCCCCCGGCCTTCTGAGCAGCTGCGCGAGCCTCCCGCGAAGGCACAGAGAACCTCCCGAAGGCCAGAGGGTCTCTGAGGAGCCCCGCCGCCATGGGAGATGGCCTGCTCCTCCTCGCTGCCCTCCCTCGCTCGCCGCCGACTCTCGCCCCCCTCACCGGACAGCCCAGGTCGACGCCGAAAAATAAGTGGCCTGTCTCCAGTGCCGTGCGGGGGCAGGAGGAGCTGAAGGTCGGGCCCTGCGAGGACTTCGTGGACGTCGGGGAGGGCAAGAGGCACCAGGGCCGGCTGCCGCAGCCCGGCAGCGTGGCGAAGGGCATCGACGAGACGATGCTGGACTCGTCGGTCAGGAGCTGGCGGGGAGCGCGGGGGGGGGGGACGACGGCAGGAGTTGTTGCCGGCGCCGCCGCGTGCCGCGATTTTCGGCTTCGAGGTTCGAGGTTTTTGCGCGGTTTCGTCGTGTCTCGGCGGTTTTCCAGCCTCGGGATACTTGCCAGCAGCTGCGCCTCTCCAAGGGCGTTCCAGAGGTGCCTGGATCGTCCTGAACCGCCCCCGGAGACCCGAGTTTGAGCCAGAAACCAAATTCGGCGGCGCGCCCTGGGGGGAAGTGAGAAGGAGAAGGCCTTCTCAGAAGGCGGCGGGGCTTCTCAGAGGCCCTCGCGCCTTCTGAGAAGTGCTCGGTCGGTGTCTTCGGGGCAGGCTCAGGAAGCCTCTCAGCAGGCCGGGAGACTTCCGAAGCTTCTGAGGAGGCCCGCCCCTTCCCGCTTCCCCCCGGGCTCGCCGCCGACAGGAGGGGCATCGTGGTGCAGCTCCGGCCCCGCCCCTGCCTGTATCTGGCGGGGCGTGAGCTGGTCCTCCAGAGCGACGACTCCGAGGATCTGGACGCCGAGCCCCAGAAGCGGGTGATCTGCGGCATCTGCTACAAGTCGAATTGCGTGCCCGCCCGGGCCTGCGTCATCGACTGCGGCGCCTGCGGCGGCCGCAACCTCGCCGGCGACGACACGGGGGTCCGTCAGTCTCGCTTCACCGATCCCCATCCCCATCCCCATCCAGACCCCCACCATCTTATCCCCCCAGTTGAGTAGATGCCCTTCAACATCTGTCAGAACCGGCCTATATCCCCATCTAGGGGGGCAAGCCGGCCAGTGGGGCCAAGGCCTCGCGAGTGGGTTAAACGATGCTCAGGTCCGGGTCAGGTGCTACAACTGCGGCGTCAGCAACCTCGCGGAGCCGGGCGCGGGGTGCATCAGCTGCAGCGCGTGCAAGGCTTAAGCCGGGCCTGTCCCTCTACAGGAAGAATATCCAAAACTAATCCAAAAATAATCAGGGGTTGATGTTTCGATTTTTTTGTCATTTGATTTTTTGTTTTTTGCATATTTTTGTGTGTGTGTTTTTATTCTTCGTCCAAAATCTGCCTGTAGTGGGACATGCCCGACCTGATGCAAGGCCGTGGTCGCCGTGCCGAGCGACGAAGATGCCGCCAGGGGCGGGGCCTGAGGGGTTCAGGCCTCCCGGGAGGCCGCGCAGCGACGCGGTGCCCCAGCAGCGCCGCGGTGACCCACGCCGACGCCCGGCCCCGCGCCAGGGCCAGCTTCGACCCGACCGATCCGGCTCGGCATCGACCTTGGCCAGCCCGATCCGATCCGATTCCGATACTTGGGGAACGAAGAATGACAGAAGCATGACAACTCGGAGGTCGGCGCGGATTTCTCGGATCCGCGCTGGGGCCCCCCGGCGGCGCTTCTGGCGCCGCCCCTGGCGCGCTCCGCGCGCCAGGGAGGGGGCCCAGCGCGGATCCAAGAAATCCGCGCGGACCTCCGAGTTGTTATGTTTATGCCATTTGTCGTTCCCCTAGATGCTCAGCACCCAGATGGCAAGATGGCGATGCGGCCCCGTGCCCTGATTCGATGCTGACTGATCCTGCGCCTGTCTCACAGCTCCCTTGCACTTGCAGGCCCAGGCTGCCAGCGCCTCGCCGCTGAGCTCTGTGCCCGGTCACCTGCTACGGAAGCCACAGGTGGCCGAGCGCCGTTCTAGTTTCACCCGTTCGAATTCATCTGCAGTCGACGCCCATGAGATCGATGCAGTGCTTCATCGTCGAGGCTACCCCTGCATCTTTCCCTCGTCTGCCCTCTCTTGCGGGGGCGCCTGGGCATCCTTTTCCCGCCTTTCCTTGCTAGCTTCTACGACCGCTTGCGAACCCTACCCCTACGGGCCCAATCGACGCTGGCGTATCGGACACCCCCGCTGGGATTCACCTGGCTGCAGACATCCTTCAATTTGGAAGCCCAGCCAGTTTCCCAGAAACCTGACCTGCATCCGCGGACGACCTGTGTGCACCGCACCGCGTTGGCGTCTCCCGAGGCGTCTTCGATTCTCGACCCAGGACTTCTACCGTGCATAGTTCTGCGGCCCCCAGAGCCGACAAGAACTATGCATTGCACCGTGTCAGAGCGGAGCCTGGGCGTCGTTCGCGTACTGCCGGGGTATGGTTCACATGTGGTTGCTCACAGGTGCAGCGGCAGCAGACGTCTGCCGGGGCCCTGGCCCGCGGCGTGCGCTGCCGCCGCGGCCCGCGGGCGCGAGGGAATACAGCGCGCCCGCGCGCGGGCCGGCGGCGCTGGCCCAAGAGACTGATCCGCAGGGGCCCGGCCTTGGCAAGCCCCTGGCTACGGGGCCACGGGGCTCGGGCACCAAAAAGAAGAGAACGGAAGGGTGGAGGCGTGTCCACGGTAAGTTTCGTGTCGACGCGGCGGCGACCCCGCCGACGGCGTTCAACGTGGAACCCCGCTGGCGACTGAGAATCTGTCGATGCTGAACGGTTCGACGTTTCGGAAACGGCCGACCATTCAATGTTGAACAGATCCCCGCGGTGTCAGAAGCCAACGCCGAAGTCTGCACGACACGAACCTGCCGTATGCCTCTGAGCGCCAATTTCTCAGGCACCCATTGCTTGGGAGATAGTTTCTAACTTATCCTCTGGCGCGTCACGGTCGTTACCCGCTTCCCCGTCCAAGGATTGCGTGGGGGGGGGCTTGGACTCCCACACGCAGGTGCTCGCGCGAATATGATGGGGATAGCAGGGCACCCCCGCCCCGACGTGCCCCACCCCGCCCAAGAGTTCCTATTGCCCGCCTTCCCCTCCCATCTCATCGCTATCGGAGATAATGGTGTTAGCGCGGTGAGGCAGGCTAGCTTATTCGTGAACAGTCGGCCATGACGTTCCACACAAGCTGGGAATTCTGTAATTACACGCCGGTCGTTGAAAGTTGGTATTTATGGATTCCCAGATCACGACCTATTTCAAGCGCCTTCCTACTTCAAGAATCGATGTGCGTGTGCTGTGTTTCGTTGTTCTCTCAGAGGACCTGCGCCCAAGCTACTTCATCCGCCTTTCACTTCATGTTCTTTACCCACCTCTTCCGACCGACGTGCACTCCTGCCTGCTGGTCTGCGATCATCCAACAATCTCACGGATGGAGCCCGTCAGAGGCGTGTCCCGTGTTCCGCGAGGCTGCTTCTTCGCGGCCTGCTGGAAGCCATCGAGGGCGACTGCGGGCAGAGTTGTCGAGCCAGGGCGGGGCTCCAGACGCGGGCGGGGCTGCGCTCGACCGGTTCACCGGAAGCTCGGACGGACGATCGCCTCTGCCTGCAGGGGGTGTTGACGGCATCCCTCTGCTCCCTCCCCCCTGCTCGATGCGGGCGCCACGTGGGTGCAAGCTTTGTCCACCTGTGCCTCCAGTCCATTCCCTTCTTCAAAGCCTCCTTGACCCACCGCTTCAGGTAGTCAGGGATGGAGGAGGAGGAGGAGGAGGAGGAGGAGGAGGAGGAGGAGGAGGAGGAGGAGGAGGAGGAGGAGGAGGAGGAGGGAGGAGGAGGAGGAGGAGGGGGATGAGGAGACGGAGGAGGAGGAGGAGGAGGGGAAGGAGGAGGAGGAGGAGAAGGAGGAGGGGGAGGGAGAGGAGGAGGAGGGGAGAAGCAGGAAGGGGGGGAGGTGGAGGCAGATGGTTGGTAGGGAGTCTGGGCGGGGCTCACGCTGGCCGGCCGGGATGCCCAGGGGGAGTGCGAGCCGCCCTCCCGTCCTATCCCATACTTCCTTCCAGCAGTGGCGAAGCGTCCTGGCTCGCCAGTAGGCCTATTATACAATGTTCCAAGAAACTTCTGTGGTCTCCACGAGATGCTCTTAGAACACTGCTGGCGGGGGCTGTCTTGTTTCAACACATCCGGCTTGTGTTCTGAGAGCATGGTTTTCGTTCTTGGAACATTTTTGGGTTCTAAGAACATGTCGTGGTAGGCCTATAGGAATGCCCGGACGGTCGGTCCCTGCTCAATTCCTCGCGCGCCCCCTCCCTCTTCTACCCCTTCCGCCACCCTCCAAAAACTCTTCTTTTGCTTGGTCATGCACATGGAAGCCTCGGAGGGCCCCGCATTTCCCCTTGTGGTTCTGCAGGTTTTCGCCCAGGTGTCGTCGGATGTGGTCGACGCCTTGACGAACTCTGGAGGAACGGGTGAAGAGGGGTGGTCGAACTGTTGACGAAATCTGGCCGAAATCACGTTTATGATATGGCCGCGGATGTCCACGGAGGATCCCATGAAGGCTCGCCCCATGCCCTGAGATCCGTCGTGGCAAAAATGCAACATCGCAGAACATCACGACCGGGCCCCATCTTCCTGCATCGTTTTCCGCGCTAGATCGATCCGTGAGGGTCCCGGTGCCCGAGACACCGGGCGAAGACGCCCGTTTTGAAAAGCCTGCATCGCCAGGATCTGATGGAGGAAGCTTCCATGCGGCTCACCTCCCAGACCCCCGACGTCATGAATTTGTCGTGACGTGGGCCCCCCAAAGTCTCGACCCGGTCCCCAGGACCGGTTTTTCGTCCCGAGTCGTGTCTTGACGGCCTCGAGGGCCCGCAGGGGACCCCAGAGGCCGCAGAGCGCGAAGCACTCCCCGTCGTGATTTTTGTCCTGATCCGAGGCCCGAGGGGGTTTGGGCTCATGGCCCCTCCCCTCGCTCCATGGGCCCTCCCTCCCCCGCCCCTCCCCGGGCGCCACCGCGCAGAGGTGGAGGACGACGGGGGCTGGCAGGGCGAGGCGCTGCGCCCGCCGGTGCCCGCGCCGCTCGCGCGCGCGCGCGCGAGGTGGAGGAGGCGGAGGCGGAGGAGGCGGAGGGCGGAGGAGGCGGAGGCGGAGGAGGAGGAGGAGGAGGGAGGAGGAGGGAGGAGGAGGAGGAGGCGGAGGAGGAGGAGGAGGCGGAGGGAGGAGGAGGGAGGAGGCGGAGGAGGAAGAGGAGGCGGAGGAGGAGGAGGGGAGGAGGAGGCGGGGGAGGAGGAGGAGGGAGGAGGGAGGAGGAGGAGGAGGAGGAGGAGGATGGAGGAGGTGGCGGAGGCGGAGGCGGAGGAGGAGGAGGAGGAGGAGAAGGCAGAGGCGGAGTAGGGAGGAGGAGGAGGAGGAGGAGGAGGAGGAGGCGGAGGAGGCAGAGGCGGAGGCGGAGGAGGAGGCGGAGGAGGAGGAGGTGGAGGGGGAGGCGGAGGAGGGAGGGGGACAGGAGGAGGGAGGAGGAGACGGTCATCGGAGAAGGAAAAACGGCATAAACGGATTTGTTTTGCGCACCGAGTGGAATTCTTGGACCTGCGCTGGGGCCCCCTGGCGGCGCCTCCGGCGCTGCCCCTGGCGCGTTCCGTGCGCCAGGGACGGGAGTCCAGCGCAGATCGAAGAAATCCGCGCGGAGCGCCAAGACTTTACGTTTATGGCGTTGTTTCTTCTTCCATGGCAGCCTCGCGCAGACGGGGGGAGGGGAGGAGAAGACTGTCATCTAGGCCTCCTCGATGGTGTTGGAGTAGGTGGGGTTGGACGATCGCGCCGCATCGCCGATGCATCGCCGATGCGGCTGGGATGTGGAGCCCGTTTTTCCCCACGCCGACCGCGCCGATGTATCGCCGACGTCGCCACTGCATCGCCGGTGCATAGGCGATGTATCGCAGATGCATCGTCGATGCGGCACGATCCTCCGACCCCATCCACTCGGATTCCATCTATGAGGCCTCTCGGAGGAGATTGTCAGCCTCGCGCAGACGGGGACGAAGCGGAGGGGTGACAGCTTCTTAGAAGGAGGCTGCTTTTCAGAAACCGCGAGCCTCATCTATAGTTGTAAAGCGCGGGCCTATACTGTGTCCACACAAACCCATACTTAGTCCTTGCGCAGGCGCTTCGCGCTCGGCGGAAAGTCAGCTTCGGCTACACTTGGGTTAGCTTCATCTTAATGCGAAGTTTGGTTTTATATCTGCGCAGCAGGCAAGTAGGTTCGGAAGGACAGAAAGCAGGGTCTCATGTTCCCGCATGTTAGTGCCAGGAGAAGCAGCGCGTGCGCACGCGCCGATTGTTTTTCTCACCCTGGATATTCATACACGACCAAGGCATTGCGCCGCGTCTGGTGAAACACATCCATGGGACAAATGATTTCAGTCGAAACATGAAACTTCAAGTGAGGTGTTACCGTCCATGTGTGGAGCATATGGGTTTCTATGCGCAGGCAACGATACATTCATTAGGTCCCCACGGCTTGAAATAGGAGTAGCGCCCTTCAGCGACGCAAGTACAGTGGCGCCTTTCGTTGTTCGGTGGCGCATTGCTGCAGGGTGCATGAAACAGATGGCAGCAACGTCGCGAACATAGTGGCCCATGCTCGCGAACGACCTCGCTCGGCACGTAGGACTCGCAACCTGCTCAAGGTGACCCTTGGCTCGCGCAGGAGGCATTGACGAAGTCGTGTTTTCCAGCTTCGGCTCGGTATTGCCCATTCGATTCTTGTAATATTGGGCACACAGCGCTACATCCTTACAAGGAGGGCTCTTGGTTCTCGGTTGCTTCGCTGACCCTACTGTAGCTTTTCTGTGGCTGTCTGGCTGCCGTGCGCAGTCATCAGGCAGTGCTCTAAAGCGCCATTTCGCCTTCGGTAGCCTTCTGGCAGTGCTCTGCAGCGCCCCAAGGTGGCTTCAAACCTGCTTCCACGAGGCCCCTGAAACGGCCTTCCAAGATTTTCGAACAAGCATCCACGAAGCTCTTGACCCATATTGCAGGCACGGCGGCGCGATGGCTGTAAGCCACTAGACAAGTCCTTCGCCGTTCTTCTCGTCCTCCTCCTCCTCATCTACCTCCTCGTCGTTCCTTCTCCCTTCCCCTCCCCCGCCTTATCGTTTTTTGTCATACTCCTCCCCATCCCAATGGTGGTGCTGCTGTGTTGCTTGTTGCTGTTGCTGATGATGATCGTGCTGCTGGTGCTGATGATGCTGGTGCTGATGATATTGGTGATGCTGGTGCTGCTGATGATGCTGTTGCTGATGTTGTTGGTGTCGGTGCTAGTGGGGACGATGCCGACGACGATGTTGATGATTATGAGGATGCTGCTGATGCGAATGGCGATGATGCTGATGCTGCTGATGATGATGACTCTGAGGGTGATGATGGTGATGATGATGATGTTGTTGTTATGGGTTGTGATTATGGTGATGATGCTAATGATGTTGATGGCGCTGCTGATGGTATTGGTGATTGTGATGATGCTGATGCTGATGATGAGGATGATGATGATGATGTTGTTGACGATATTGATTATGATGCATGGTGATGATGCGGATGATGGTGATGATGGTGTTGCTGATGATGATGCCGCTGCTGCTGCGGATGGTTATGGTGATGGTGCTGATG